AAATAAATAAATAAATAAAGCTTTTAACAATTTGATATATCCAAATTTGAAACCTTCATTAATATATTCTAAGAAAATATTCTCTTTTGACTAAGAGCATGAGCTTTGGTGATAGTAGTCACATTCACCTTTTCAAGAGCAAAGAGAACTAAAATTTCCAGTCATGAATTTTATCTGAACCAAGGGTTATTCATCCTTCAAATTTATCTATATGGTAGATTTCAAGATCACTGGGCTATAGAGAGAAGACTCAAGAGGATGAAGCTCTCTATGGAGTACAGAGAACTTAACTGATGGGCCCCTGATGAGCCACAGGCAGGTAGAGCCTCATGCATCTCATTATGGCTTGAGAATGACAGATACCTACAAAGATCACAAACCTCATCTGTTTCTTGTTAGAATGTCACTACATTTCTAAAAGACACACTAGTACTACTAATACAGGTATCATTATCATTAATACTATTGCTTTTTTTGTGATGTCCCGTGGCCCTCGTCTACCTCCTATATCTATCAGTGTCATAAATTTATACCTTGCTCCAATCAACAGAGAGATACAATCCATATCATCAATCTTGGTATAGAGCATTGATTTTTTCATGTCTTTGCGGGCACGTGGCAGCATGAGCACAAGGCTTAGTTCCAAATGTAGTGCCTAATCTAATGGTGAAGACATAATTATTCAGACTTACTAAAATATAAGTTTGAATATTCAACTTACTGTCAATTTGATAATTTTTTCTGGTGAAAAAATCCGGAATCCCTGCACTGAAAACAATCAAATCAATCAGATAGTAACTGGGGTTTAAATATGTTCAAGAAGACACACAAGATATGGAACTGGTTAAAAAAAGAGTAACAAAATCCTCATATTTTGAAGGGGAGGATAACCTAGAAAACTCCAGAGGGAAGAGTAGGAAACAATGAGGTGAAAGAAACAATCAGAGGATGATTTTTGTTCTTGATGATATGAGAATCAACCATAAAAGTGGGCGGTGCTGTGGTGGTGTATCATTAATGATATGGGCCTTTTGACTCCTACCCTTTTGGACTGATTCTGGGGGTCAGCCTAGTTGGGATAGCGACTTCTCTTCCATACATTATTGGAGCAAAGTACATATAGTAATTTTACCAGTCATTATGGCCATCAATTTTAATGGCTCCGCCATATCAGTTATCAGTTATCAAAATAAGGGATCTGAAGGAACATATTTTCTGATAAAAAAGATGACTCCGCAAGCCATATAAAAGAAAAAAAAAAATTTCACTTTTCTTACTTGCGGAAGGAAAATGTATGCACTGTCGAATGATTCTAAACTAACAAGTAAACAGTTCTAACAAGGATTAAAACATACTAATGGACACGACAGTTTAAAACAAAAATGTTGAGGCCGTAGAACTGGACTCGTTACCGCCCCTTGGGATGAAATCGTGCGGACCACAAAGGTTTGTCCGGTGTCACCATCTTTAGAAAAGCCTCTTTTTTTTTTTCTTTCTTTCTTTTTAGTTTCTTATCTTTCTTCTTAGATTCTGGAAACCAGAAATTAAAAGTTGTTGCAACTAATGCTAATAATTTATTTGACTCAGACATGTAATAAACTTATCATGTAGAAATCTGCAAGAAAAACGTGACCGGCACCGCAACCTACCTACCAGCTCTAACAATAATGAAGCAAATGATGGGAGCATTTGAGGCTGATCTCTTTCTCGTTTCCAATTCAGATTCGAAGATTAAACTAGACGGCCATGAAAGGAAGCTTTTCTAAGTCCTAACCAACTAGGCCTTGACTTTGCATTGCACTTTCTTTGTCTCTCTCTTTCTATCCTCTCCAAGGATCAACGCTCCAATTAGTATTTCCTAGGGTTCTCCAATTTGTCTCTTTGTTTTAATCCCAAAAACCAACCTGTTTTTGGTGGCAGGCGGTTAACACAATAGATCTCTGCAGAAAAGGGCTACCACTAGAATTGAGATGGATGAAACAAAGCATCATACCGTAAAAAGAGCATCATGAGATTGCACTAAGTATATCTTCATCCACCCTATTTTTCTTTGTAATTGATGCATGGACTGTATTATAGTTGTAAGCCATGGATAACAAGAACGTGAAGAAGAAGAAGACGGGTTCCAAATTGCATGAGTGGTTCAAAATCAGGAAGCAGAAGAGAAAAGACCCTTACCATCTAAATGAACTTTCAGGTCAGCTTCTTCACCCTCCCTTATTTTTGCTACCTCATGAGGCTTAAAATCAGTTCTTATGTTTCTATTTCTGGTTTTCCTGCAGATGGAGAAGAAGATGAAAGTGATGATTATGTGCATGATATTTACGTTCCATCCATACAGATGGATCCATGCACCTCAACCAAAGAGTTAAGGTGAGGATTTTCAATCCTAAGTATCAAGGAAATATGTTAATGAAATGAATTATTTGGTCTCTCCTTGAAAGCAGATATGGGTTTTTTTCAGAATTTTTGTGGGTACTTGGAATGTTGCTGGAAGATCTCCGGTGGGGAGTCTGGCTGTAGATTTGGATAAGTGGCTAAATCTCAGGGAGGCTGCTGATATCTATGTTCTTGGGTAAGTAAGAGTTTTACGAACAAGATCTTCTAATTTCCATATTCTCTATGAAAAACGAACCAGGAGTTTCTATCAACAACAAGAACTTTTTGAACTTGCAGATTTCAAGAGATTGTGCCCCTGAAAACTAGAACTGTCATAGGAGCAGAAGACCCAACGGAAGCAACAAACTGGAACCTACTTATAGGAAAAACACTCAACAACAGATTTGGAAGCCCTTGGTTGACACCTTTGTTGAATCCAATCTCAAGTGACAACTACCATTATGCTAGCACTCCAGACTGTCAAAGACGAATGAGTTTTAGCGGTAGTTTTCGGACCCCAATAAGAGAAAGATCAAGAAAACAACTTCAGCTGCCTCAGTACACTGGTAGCGAGTACCAGCTAGTGGCAACCAAGAAGATGGTTGGAGTGTATATAAGTGTGTGGATGAAGACAGAGTTGCTCAGGAAGAGCTGTGTTTCAAATGTGAAAGTTTGTTCGGTGGCTTGTGGCATCATGGGTTACCTGGGAAACAAAGGTTCCGTTTCAGTAAGCATGATCATTGAAGGAACCAGTTTTTGCTTTATTGCTGCACATTTGGCTTCTGGTGAAAAGAAAGGCGATGAAGGGCGGAGGAACCACCAGGTCACAGAGATTTTTAGGCGAACTTTGTTCCCTCGATCCTCCAAAGACGACAATAAATCTCACCCCCTCACCATCCTAGGACACGAGTAAGTGGTGATCCCTAGCAATTTATGCTTTGTCTCATCTAATTTTAAAGGATCCAGTAGACTCTAGGTTGAAACAGAGCTTCATTTTCAAAGGGAAATATGGAGTCAATGCACATTAAATGAACAAAAAATCCAACTCCAAAGAAATAACGTTTTCTTATTTGATGGAGCAGTCAGATATTCTGGTTGGGGGATCTTAACTATAGATTATACTTGGAAGACACTTTAGCCAGGCATCTGATAAATCAGCAAGGCTGGAAAGCATTGCAGCAGTTTGATCAGCTTCGTAAGGAACAAGAGGATGGTGGGGTATTCCAAGGATGGAAAGAAGGAAACATAGAATTTGCCCCAACATATAAATATTCTTCATCAAATTGCAATCACTACTCAGGTGGCTTTCCTAGCAGATCAGGAGAGAAACAAAGGACACCAGCTTGGTATTATTGTTCAGTCAACCATGTTTATAGAATGAGATTGTATTGGTACTAAAAACTCGTGACTCCAGCTAATTGGAACTCTGGTTGCAGGTGTGATAGAATTCTATGGTATGGGAAAGGAGTGAAACAGTTGTCCTACCTACGCAGTGAAATTAAGTTCTCTGATCATCGGCCAGTCTCTGGCTTATTCTCTGCACAGATAGAAGTCATCAAGTCCACCAATCCAAGATTTGTTAATGTGAACACTTTTCTTCCCAACACAATGACACCCGCTGTAAGTTCTCTGAGTCTTACTAATTTCTCCTCTCAGAGATCATATTGTTGTTGTACTACCTCCATAGGCAAACATAATCATAAGAGCATTGTAGGTTCTGACTATAAGATCTGTTTTTTTTTTTTTTCAATTACAGAGGACAAGCAAAAACGACAACAGGGCTAAATCCACATTGCAATCTTTGATTGTAAGGGATATGGAAGCATCATCAAACACAGGCAAATACTGTAAACAAAACAGATGACAGTGAATGTAGCTGACCTTTAGCTAGCTAGTTTGCTTAAGGGTGGCTTATGGAAGTACTATTATCTCATAATATTGCTTTTTAGGGGGTTTGGTAACTTAAATCAAGTGGTTGATCCTCAGATAAAAACAAGAGTTGATAGTCAATTCACTAGGATGATATATGCCTCCGTTGCAGTATAGGATTTACAAAAGAATAAAGTCATAGGGGTTTAAGCATTGAAATTCTTTTCAAATTTGTTGAAGAGCAGCTGAATTAATAATCAACATGAAATTCTTGAATGCAAAATCAGTTCAACCAATTAGCATATTTATCCCATGTTTTTAGAGACTAGGTCCTCATTTTTCCATGTTAGAGCAAAGGATCTTATCTTTACTTCACAGGGCAAATTTTAGACTTAAAATATCAAGAAAAGTGCAATAAATGTGCATTCCCCTCAAGCTATCATGCACAATTTATATTTGATAACATCCACATCACAGCTTTAATTAAAAGATTAAGGGCATGTTTGGTTTCGCTTCTAAATGCTTTAACTTTTTGACATTATTTATGTTTCATAGGTTTAAATTTCTCTCTTCAAAACTTATATTTTTAAACTTTTTTTTTACCTTAAAATGACCTCAAACAGTAAAAACTCAAAAGCTTCAAATCTAAATTTTTCATAAACTCCATTTTTATTCACTTTTTCCTATCTCTAAAAGCAACTTTTAAATTTTTCCTCTAATAAAAATTTAAAATTATCATTCATAAACAGTAAAAAAAAAAGAGTAAAAACTCTTACAAGTTAACCAAACATGCTCTAAAATACTTACAGTAGATCAATTTGGCTCATTTGCCTGAAGATTTCCTCCCAATGCGCTTAAATTGTCTAAATGGCACTTGGGACACATGCACCTCTTCTGCAATTCCCCACTAAGGAGAGTACATGACTTTTCCAATTTAGAAGTTTGCTTGTTTTTGGCTAAAGAGAGTTTATGCTTTATACTAATAATACTCATCATAAATGATCATTAAAATCCAAATGTATATCTGTTTACGCCATAAATTGTATTTTTTAAAATGACGCCACGTGTCAATGAATAAGATGAGATTAAATCCACTAAAAGAATGCGTATCTGTAAAGTTGGTTGGAAGGATAAAGGTTATCCAGTTTGTTGCAACTTGAATTTAAAAGGAACAAAAATCCTTAGAATCTAGGAGGAAGCTATCCGTGATCTAATAAGCCAAGAGACAATTTGCTTCCGAGAGACAATTTGCTGGAAGCATATCAATAGAAGCTTTTTGAATTTTTTCAAAACACGGCCAGTCCTACACAGAAACTCATCAATTTTTCAATTCTCTAGTTTTATAGTCATTGCTCACTTTAGCTTTCATATTTCAGTTTTAGCATATATCCTAGTAGATTTAGGTTGTTTTTAGCATTCAAATACCTAAATTAGTTTGTGTAATTGCTTCTCTGATTTCCTTTCATGTAATAAACGTCATGTTTACTCTAATTTGTCTTTCATTCAGTTCATTTTGGATCTATTAACTTAAATTCACGCTAGTGGTAAAGTCCTTGAGATTGTTCAAGGTAGATTAGCAACCCATTTTGCAGGAAGGCATCCCTCCCTCTTGCAAATCGTCTGAAGGGCGCAAAACTTAGTCTTAAACCAACGTTCTTCCAGTCATCCTAACGGGGGTCGATCGCATGGAAGGAGAGGGTCGTTGGGAAAATCCTTTTTTTCTTGCTTTTCAAAAAAATAAGTGGCATGTTTGCATCTAGATTCTGCACGTGCGAAACCATTTGAGGATTTTTGAGAAAATAACCCTTTTGTGGCACGCCCAGTGGGAACCCACCGTGTCTCACCCACAGTTTTTAGATCCACTTTTTCTGCATCCAAAAAGAGGTGTTATTATGCCACCACAAGCTAAACATGTAGATGATAGTCCACTCCACTTTGAGGGTGGAAATGATCTCATTATTTTTTCTCCACTGTCACCTCTAATAGAACGATCCTATGGAAATTCAATATTCAAGGAGAATGAGGCAAATCATGGGAGCGCCTTTGTTGAGGCAAATCATGGGAGCGCCTTTGTTGAATCAAATAATGTGATAAAAAATTTGACAGAACGTTTGGAGTTAGCATGTAAATAGTAGACCCAAAAACTTGTTGAGAGCCACGCAGAAGCTTCCAGACAGCATTTTGAGGCAATAAGACAATATATCGTTGAATTGAGACAAGTTTTTGAGGAAGGCACTAGGATGATACGAGAAATTAGGAATGAAAGTCGCAAAACATTGCAGGCTATTTCAGATCAAGTGGTTGAACAAGTGCGACAACCCAGACCAGAAGTACCATTGCCAGCCCAGGCAGTGGATCTTCATAGGTAGATCCAGAATCCATCGATTTTAGTGCTCAAGGGGCAAGTTAATCAACCACATCTGTCTCCACAAAACCAATCGGCAGTTGGTGGGCTAGTGCAACCAGAACTAGTAGAGGTTACACCACGTGTGGCAGATCTAGGAAATTAACAACAACTACAAGAAAAGATCAACAGAGGGATTTTACAATTTCCCAAAAAGGCTAGGTAAACAATGAGAGTTAATGCAGACCCATTCCCAAACTTGTCTGTTGGAGTGAACATGGCAGATCTCTGAAGCCCTATCAAGGACAGAAATCGATCATACTCCAAGCGTAGACTTGCAGTTGATGACTTGAGATGGGTCATTAAGGAGGCCAGAACTCGCAAAGATCAGGTCAGATCAGATCCTCCACGAGGAAGAAGGCACGGGGGGCATGATCTAAAGTAGTAGAAAACTAGTCCAAGTTAGAGCGCCATGAAATCTAGCTATGAAGGACAATCCAGAATGGTGAAACCACCACTCATATCTTGTAGTCAGAAATGAGAGCGAGTGGTTCACCCAAAGTTTCCTAAGGCTCAGAATCCCAAAACTTTGAGGCAACGTTTATAATGCAGGAGAGTAGAAGAGAGGCGTCGACAGCAAATGAAGAACTCGAGGGGCATGGCTAGTTTGGCCCAACCGCTCCCAGTGAAAGTGAAATCCGTTTAGGTCCCTAAAGACAAAAGCAAGACATCAACTCAGACATTACCAAAAGATGAAAAACAACCCAAAAGTCTAACTTCTCCCCAAGTTCTGACTGTCAAGACAAGTGAGGAAATTGGCCTGAAAGCAATGTTCAAGGTGACATAAGAAGTAGAAAATTCAACGAAGTAGAAAATTCAACAAAGTAGAAAACCATCCAATTTGGTGAGTTTTTTGTGAATTTGTCTTGTTTAGTATTTACCTTTCCTCTAGCCTTCCAAGCCAAAGGAGAACCAGAATCTGCAGATTATCAACAGGCAGATCAGACTGAGGAAGGAATTATTGAGATCCTTGCAAAAGAGGATGAGAACAAAATTTCAACAAACATAATTATTTTTGAAAAGCCAAAAGAGAGGATCATCAGACGTATAAGGCCACTATATATTTATGCTCACATGGATGGGATGCTAGTTAATCGAGTTTTGGTGGACAATGGTGCAGTTGTCAACGTGTTGCCAACTAGTATGTTACACAAAATTGGCAAATCTTTGAAAGATCTGATGGAGGTAGAAGTGACAATCAGGATTTCATAGATGGAGTAAATCACTCATGGGGAATTCTGCCAATGGAGCTCACTGTGGGAAATAGAACACTCATGTGTGTATTCTTTGTGGTTGACACTGTAGCCACTTATAATGCATTACTTGGGAGAGATTGGATCCATTCTATCTGGTGTGTTCGTTGAACTTTACACCAGCAATTGATATTCTGGAATGGTGGCAGAACTGAGGTTGTGAAAGCTGATGATAAACCTTTTGTGGCTAACACCAATGCAGTGGAAGCTCGTTACTATGACAAAGAAATTGGGGCCATTCACTTCTTTGAGATGGACTATAATGGCAAACCAACTGGAATTACTGCTAGTACTAGATTAACACTTACTAGACGCACAGTGAAGAAGGTTTGTGATGAACTCCTTTGGCCTACAGTAATTTTTCCTTTTAGGCCGAGGGAGGAACTAGAAATTGAAGAAATTCCATGAAGAGACAACAAATCAATCTCCAAAAGAAGGAGGCTGTGGAAGAAATCAAAAGGATATTAGCGGCCTATCTTGTAGAAAAGTGGATTAGTGTAGACAAATATGAGGTGGTCCACGAAGGTGAAGAGGAAAATCTGACAAATGAGGTTACTCTATAAGAGTTAGATCTGGTTCCAGCCAAACTTGACAATTTGAAAACAAAAGTACAAGATCCGTTGGAGGAGGTAAATCTGGATATTTCGAATTCTGGCTGAGTTAGATTTGGGTGAAATTGCATACTATTTTCTTTTTCCAATTTAGCATTTTTTGAGTTTCAATAAAGGTGTTGATCTAAATTTGTAAGCTGGCCAAATTTGGCCGTGAGCAATCATAACGACTAAATAGCGACTAAATTATGGCCATGTCAGATTTCAATCTGCTCTAGATCAAATATGTAATAAAGGTTGTGAAAGAGGAAAGCTGATCTTTGATTTTGGAATCTACATTCAAGTCTACCTCTATATTTGCAAGAAATTTGCTAGGCTGTTCTGCCAAGCTTTTTTTTGTTTGTTTCGTAAGGGGAATCTATTCGTTTAGTTTTATAAGCTTAGCTTCAAGGTTTGAGATCTCTTCTTTCAGACCTTAGAGTTGTTTGACATATGGCATTGGTGGCTAGAGTTTGCATGCAATTTATTTAATTATAAACATTCAAATTTATTTTCATAAAATCAAGTGTTAGGAGGCATTGTTTATGTCATAAGTTGCATTTTTTAAGTGACGCCACATGTCAATGGATAAGGTTAGATTAAATCCACTAAAGAGATGTGTATCTGTAAAGTTGGTTATGAGGATAAACGTTATCCAGTTTGTTACAGTTTGAATTTAAAAGGAATAGAAATCCTTAGAATCTGGGAGGAAGTTATCTGTGATCTGATTAGCCAAGAGACAGTTTGCAAGAAGCAAATAAATAAAAGCTTTCTAAATTTTTTCAAGACACAACCAGCCCTATTGTTTGCCCAAAAATCCCCTAGTGGCCTCGCATGTGTGAAATCTGGATGCGGGCATGCCACTTACTTTACTGAAAGTAAGAAAGGAAGACTTTCCCAACGACCCTCTCCTTCCTCACGGTCGACCTCTTTGCAGATGGTGGGAAGAACATTGAATTAAAATGAAATTTGCGTCTTTAGACGATTTGCAAGAGGGGGGGATACTTTTCTGCAGAATGGGTTACGAA